AGTCCACTCTAGTTTCCGAGACAGTCGCAAGTGTCTCGAAAACTATGATTTGTCTTTATAGCTTCCGAGACAGCCGTAACTGTCTCGGAAACTATGAGTTTTCTCATAGTTTCTGAGACATGTTTTGTGCCTCGAAACTTGTGTCGTACGCTTTTTATGCATTTCTTGATCTTTGGCTTTGGATGATCCTTTATAACTCAGATAATAACGTTTATCGTCTTCTCTTCATCTTGAGCTATGTATGGTAATCTATAGGTAATTTTTGGCGCCTACAATGATATTGACTATGAAGAGACTTTTACTCATGTTTTAAAAATGACATACATTCGCACTGTTATTGCTGTTGCAGCTATAAAACATTGACCTTTGTATCAAATAGATGTTAAAAATGCTTTTCTTAATGGTGATATGTTTGAGACAGTGTACATGCAGCTACCTCCTGCCTTTCCTGCTCCTCCAGGACATGCCTGTCGCCTTCGTCGTGCTATATATGGTCTCAAACAGGCTCCTCGGGCTTAGTTTGAGTGTTTCCGGCAATCTCTTCTTTCTATTAGTTTTAGTGAAAGCCTACCTGACTATGCTCTATTTCATCGGTCCTCAGCCTCCGGTACAGTCATACTATTACTTTATGTTGATGACATGATAATCACTAGGAGTGATTCCTCTGTCATTACTTCATTAAAGCAACATCTTCAGAATCAATTTGAGATGAAGGATCTTGGTTCCCTTTGTTACTTCTTGGGTATTGAGGTTACTTCCTCCTCTCGTGGCTAGCTTCTCTCTCAGTAGAAGTACATTGCAGATATTCTTAAGCGTGTTACTCTCAGTGATCCTTCCATTGCTACCACTCCTCTATCCATACTGATGGAAATGAACTTGAAGCTTCAACTTGATGATGACAATCCCTTACCTCAGCCTACTCGATATCAAGAGCTTATCGGAGCATTGGTTTATCTTTTAGTAACACGTCCGAATATCGCTTATGCAGTACACATCTTGAGCCAGTTTGTCAGTAGTCTAACTTCCATTCACTATGCATCTCTCATTCGGGTTCTTCGATATCTCCGTGACACTATAACACAATCATTATC